CCCCCCCCCCTTTTAAAAACATAGTACATATTAAAAAAATTAGCAATTCTGCTGGGGCATAAGCCAGTAGCCCCAGCTATTCAGGAGGCTAAGGCAGGAGGATTACCTGGCCCTAGGAGCCCTGCAGCAAGCTGTGACTCCATGGCACTCCAGCCTGTGTGACAGAACAAGACTCCATCTCACGAGAAAAAGTTACAGTTCCTTAATATTAACAAACATTTGGTTGGTGCTTGTTTTCCTGACTTGTCTTGGTACAGTTGTTTCCACTCTGGTTTGGAGGACTTGCTTGTCTCTTGTCTATCAACTGCTCCTCTGGTTTTCCTTGCCATGAATTTGGTGAACAGGCCTCTGAACTTCCCACATTTCTGCTGGCGCCATTTGACACATGCTCCCCTCCCTGCGTCTCCCTGGACCCTGGCAGCTCAGCACAGGGCTGTGATTGCATTTGGGTACCTTGTTCCCAGACATCTTCCATGTTACGTCCAAGGGCCCAGAAGATGGCTGTCTTCATTTCTGTCATGAAGGATGGATGCCTGAGCTGCATTGACTATGATTTCTACTATGGCCAGTGGTTGCCTGGGCCTCGCCTTGCCTTCACCCTTGACAGCTTCCCTCCCTGACAGCCTCCTCCCTCTGACAGCCTCCTTCCCTGACAGCCTCCTCCCTCTGACAGCCTCCTTCCCTGACAGCCTCCTCCCTCTGACAATCTCCTCCCTCTGACAATCTCCTCTCTCTGAGAGCCTCCCTCCCTGACAGCCTCCTCCCTCTGACAGCTTCCCTCCCTGACAGCCTCCTCCCTTGACAGCCTCCCTCCCTGACAATCTCCTCCCTCTGACAGCCTCCCTGCCTGATAGCTTCCTCCCTCTGACAGCCTTCCTTGGCCCCTCGTTGGCCTGCAAAGCGCCTTTCCTGCCCTCCTGCGTCCTCCATCTCTTCTACCTCCTCCTCCAGGGCACCTTTGCCCGGATCAGCCCTGCATGCTGGCAGAGGGTAGGTCTTGCCTTCCCTGTGCCCTCCCTGCCTGGGCCTCAGAAGAGCTTGCTGTTTGTTCCCTTGAGTGTTCCCATACCCTAAGGGGCCTGCAGGGCAGCAACCTCCTTCTGGCTGTGCTACTGGGCTCCAGGGTCTGTGGAAATTTTCATGCCCTGTGTGACCCTCTGCTGGGGGGAAGCTTCTCCAAGCCTGGGCTGACCCGAATATGATGCTCAGTAGAATTTGTTGCATGAATAACTCAGGGTCACAGGCCACACTGCCTGTTTAAAGCAAGCAGTTGAGAGGCTTTAGACTCCTGGAATGGCGTACAGTGTCATCACCTGAGCAGGAAATACTATGCCCCAGGTGCTCGCCCCAAGACTCTCCTGGAGGCCCTATCTCCTCTGTCCCTGTAGAGCAGGGGTCCTCAAACTTTATAAACAGGGGACCAGTTCACTGTCCCTCAGACCGTTGGAGGGCTGGGCTGCGGGCCCTGGGACGAGTTGGCTGCTAAGCAGGACAGGCAGCGGTGGCAAAAACACCTGGCAGGTCGGATGAATGTCCTAAGTGGGCCGTAGTTTGAGGATGCCTGCTATAGACACTTAACAGAAATGAAAGGCTATGAGGTGTGGCCTCTTCCACCGAGCATCAGCGCCTTCACTCACGCCCACGTCACCCCATGTCAGCACCTTCACCTGTGCCCACGTCACCCAGTGTCAGCACCTCACACGTACCCACGTTACCCAGTGTCAGCACCTTTACCCTCACCCACATCACCACATGTCAGCACCTCATTGCTCTGTGTCTGCCTTGCTTCTGGCACAGACAGGCCACATTGTGCTTGTCCTTCCTTTGGGGGTGGACATTTGAGCTGTGTCCCTTATGGACAGTTGTGAGCAGCATTGCTGTGACATTCATATATAAGCTGTGGGGCTGTGCTCTCCTCTCTCCTAGGTGTGCCTGCAGGTGGGACTGCTGGCCGCATAGCAACTCTATGTGATGTTTTGAAGAGCTGCCCACTCCTTCCATGGGAGCGGCACCGTATGCTCCTGCCCGCAGTGTCTAGGGGTTCTACCGTCTCACGTCCTCATTAGCATTGTCGTCACCTGCTTCCTCACTGTGGCCACCCTGGAGGGTGTGAGCTGGTGACTCATGCCGTTTTGGGCTTCTTCCCTGGCGATCACTTAACTGGAGTCTTTTCATGCACTCATTGGCCATGTGTGTGTTCTTTGGGCAAATGGGACCTTTTGCCCACGTTTGAATCAAGTCACGGTATCTGTTTCATTGTCCCACTGTGACCTGCAGACTCTCTTTCTCCGTTCTGTGCCATTTGCTCCATTTCCCACAGGCACCTTTGAGGCACAGAGGGCAGAGCCCATCTCATCTGTTTTGGTGCTTGTGCTTTCAGTGTCACAGCTGAGAATCTGTTGCCACACCTGAGGCCCTGCAGATTTTCTTATAAGAGTTTTGTACTTTTCACTTTCATATTCTGGGGCATTGACTCTCTTTGATGTCTCCTTTTCTCTGAGAATCAGAAATACCACAGCTGCAAGAGCCTTGGACTTGCACCCTGGGCCCTGGAGTAGAACCTGGAGCCAGTTCTGGCCCCTCATCTGGTGGATGACCCCAGTGTTCTGAGTCAAGGTCCCCTGTGACACCTGAGCAGTGACTTTGCATGGTCAAGGGTGTGTCATGACCAGGGCTGGCAGGACTGATGTGGTGGGATGGGCTGAGGCCACTGTGTTGCTCCGGGCAGGTGCCTGGCCCATGAGGCTGGACGGGGCTTGATGCCACTCTGCAGCAAGCAGCTGGGCTGGTGGGAACTCTTTGCCCTCCTTCCACAGTCCCCACAGTCCCCACCTGGAGGGCCCTGAAATGACCTTTTGTGTTTGCTGATGTGTGTCTCCCCTACTCCAGGTACGGACCTGACTGTGGGAGAAGCTAGCAGCTCTGACAGCCGTGGGGAGAGGCCAGAGCTCTACACACAGGTGGACGAGGGCCTCTTGGGGGGAGAAGCTGGCTTCCTGGGCCCACCCCTCACCCCGGAGAAGGACGATGCTTTGCAACAGGCAACCGCTGTGGCCAACCTGCGTGCAGCACTCATGAGCAAGAACAGCCTGCTGTCCCTCAAGGCCGACGTGCTGGGGGACGATGGCCCCCTGCTTTTCGAGTACCTGCCCAAAGGTGCCCACTCACTGTCCCGTAAGTGCAGCCCCTGCCACGCGGCTTTGCTTTGGCTCGATTTTGATTGCTGAGAGCTGGGAGTCTCGGGCGGACATGAGATTGAGGATGTGCTGAACCCCATCCCCTTGGGCAGGCTGGCTGTGGGCAGCGGCGCCTCTGAACTCCCTGTTTCAGGAGGTGCTGAGGCCACATCACAGCCTGGACCAGCCTCTCTGGTCATGCAAGGCTCACCAGGTGCTGGCTTTATAGAGTACGGTACAGTGATGTGTTTATCAGGGCACCGGAACGGGGGAGATTTTTATGCTTTTATGCCCTGGGCATAGTGTGAGTCTCGTTGGAGCATTTTGTGACTTGCAGCGCCTCAACCCAAACCAAACGCCCTGAGCATTATAGGGGCACAGACACACCCGGGCCTTGAAGCCTGTCTGGGTCAGCACAGGCAGGAGACAAGGATCTCTGGGTATGGGCAGCAGTGGGCTCGCCTTGCTGGTCCCTTTGTGCTGAGATTCCTTCCCCTGGAGAGGGAAAGGAAAGCGGCAAACGGGTGGCAGGAAGCGGGTGTGTCCTTGCCTGGCTACAACAGAGAGTGCTGGCCACGTACGAGTCTTTGGAAAGGAGTTGGATCCTATACATAAAACTTAAGTGTGTCTGCTGATTCCAAATGACAGACCCCCTCGAGGTGTGGCTGAAGGCACAGCCACACAGTTGACACTTCACAACTCCTTTTCTGGCAAGACAGTTCAGCTTTTACAGAATTGGCCCCCAGAGCTGGCCTGGAGTGAGCCACTGGCTCTGGTCAGGGTGCTACGTGGCTGCCCTGGGCATAGCTTGGTTCCAGGTCCTGATGTGCAGTGGGTGCTGGAGGGGCAGGGAGGAGGCCTCATGGGGAGGAGCCGGCTCCAGGTGGCCCAGGGTGCTAGGGTGTGGTGAGTGCTGTGGACTTGTTTCCTGAAGCAAAGGGGACTTGGGAAGTGTATCTTTGTTTTGATGTTTATGCTGCTTTAAAAAACAGTATTTTTACAACTTTGTTTTCATGAGCCCTAAGATACTCTTTTGAATTTTGTGTTGGCGTGAGCAGTGCCACAGACTTTACGGCTAATAAAGATGACAAGCAGAAAACAGTGTCTGTGTTCTCTTTATCTATGCACAGAACTGAAAGCCAGGCCATAGGGCTTGGCCAAGAAGCCAGAACAGTCTGAGCATCCCATGGGCAGGGACAGGTTACAGGCACCGGGCTCTTGAAACATCTTTTTAAAACATCTAAAAAATGGGATAGCACCACTTGCACTGTTGTGAATTTAAAACCAGGTACATTTCTAACACAGAATACAGGAGAGGAAAGTGTGTTTGATAAATACTACTGTGTCAGACTCTTTCCCCTTACAAATGTGAAAATGTGCTTGTCAGCAGAAATTTTGGGATTTTCTTGTTCCTTGGGGGATAGGAACATTCTGAAGGCTGTTCCTGGTTCTCAGAGCAGTTGGGGTTCACAGGAAGAGTAGAGTCCTCAGGGGACCTCACTGAGGGCAGGACTGATGAGCTCCGCCGACAGGGGAGATGGCCGGGAGGTGGCAAAGTTGGTGCCGCGTTGAGGCTGAGGTGACCCTGATTCCTGCTTCCTCACCCTACTCTGGCTGGGGAGAGTCTGGGCTTTTGTTCTGTTTCTGGACATGTTTATGCCATGCTCGGACCCCTCGAGGGCAGGGCTATTGTGACACCTAGGCATCTGAGGTGCCCCAGATCTGGCCAATGTGTCTTTGTCCTAAGAGTGATTGTAGAACCAGGAGAAATGACATGTTTGTGCCTTTCCTACTGTTTCTGCTGTGAGTCTGTGCTGAGCACCATGCAGTGGGTGGGTTGGAGGGCATGGCCAGCCAAAAGCTGCCAGTTTAACTCAAGTACAGCCAGGCAGTGGGGCCCCTGGAGCCATCTGACTTGGGCCAGGGAGATTGAACCTCCATTCTGCCCTGGCAGTCTCCCCGCGCCCTCCTTGGGTCATTGCAGTAGGAGGTGGCATCTGGGTGCAGGCCACTAACCTTCTATGTGCTGTGTTCAGCAGCCCCCTCTGAGCTGGGCCCCTCATGCCTCTCTGCACCCTGAACATCTAGGAAAGACAGTCCTTCTCCTCTGCTCAGTCCATCTGTGATTAACTCCAGGTGAAGTCAGCCCATGGCCTTTTTGTTCTTTCCATTACATTTTAGCCTCATTTTTAATATTCTAAACTTTCTACTTTTCTTGTAAGAATTTGTCCTTTTGTTTTCCACAAATGGTATTTAGAACTTGGCAGAACCCCTCTCAAGCTGAGCTGTGAGTTGGATGGTTGGGGCTGTGTGAGGAAGGCCAGGACACCTGCTCTGGCCAGCAGTCAGAATAATGGAAAGATACAGAAAAAAACCTTTATTTTTCACAATTTTGTGGCTACCCTCACTGTGGTGGCTGGTGGTAAGGGATCCATGCAAACCTAGCGCTGATGGCTGAGGGCAGGACAGCACCAGACCTCAGGCCTGTAACTGGTGCCTGTAACCTATCCCTTTAGGGTGTCATGGAGGCGTAGTGCCTCTAGCCGCAGAGGCTGCTGGCCTTGCTGCTGTACCCATTCTGGCCATGCATGTCCACCTGACCTGGCTGGCATATGTCCACCTGATCTGGCCTATGTGTGTCCTGGCCTATACATGTCCACCTGATCTGGCCTGCACATGTCCACCTGACCTGGCCTGTGCATGTCCTGGCCTACACATGTCTACCTGACCTGGCCTACACATGTCCACCCGACCTGGCCTGTGGGTGTCCTGGCCTACATATGTCCACCTGGTCTGGCCTACACGTGTCCACCTGACCTGGCTTGTGTGCGTCCATCTGACCTGGCCTACGCGTGTGCACCTGACCTGGCCTACACATCTCCACCTGACCTGGCCTGTGCATGTCCTGGCCTACACATGTCCACCTCTGACCTGGCCTGCGTGTGTCCTGGCCTACATGTGTCCACTTGACCTGGCCTGCACGTGTCTATCTGACCTGGCCTGTGCGTGTCCACCTGACCTGGCCTGCGCGTGTCCACCCCATCAGGACAGAGAACTCAGCCAAGTGTGGTATGTCTGCTGATCTAAGGTGCTAGGTCTGCAGAGTTGGGTCTGTGGAACTGAGACCAGCCCCGTTTTCCCTCATGTCTTCCACTGTCACTGTCCTTCTGGGAGTGGGTGGTTGATGGGGTGGTGAGTGTCCTCCACAGCCCATGGACGGGGGCCCTACTATGAGGCGTGCATCCAGCTTGGGGTCTGCGGACCCCCCTGTGTACAGCAGAATGGGGAGACTCTCTGTGTACCCTGTCCGCAGTGTAACCCCTGCCTTAGCTCACAGTTCTGGAAATTTGCCCCCAGGCACCCTGAATTGGGCTGTCATGCTCCCTGTCCTCTGGAAGGAACCTCACACTGTGCGCAGGAGGAAGGATGGCCTGGCACCCTCCTAGCCCTTCTCTTAGGAGGTGGCTCTGAGTGTCTGGGCTGTGTTCTGTGTCCTGACATAGCTCAGGCCTTCTCCAGAGTCAGGTGGCCCCTGGGCTGCACTGTCAAGCACACGGTCTAGTGAGAGGCGTTGCTGGAGAAACCAGGGGGAGAGGCTGCCTCAGCTCACTGGGGTCCCACCTGACTGCTAGGTGGTTATGCAGAAGAGCTCGTGCAGTTACTATGAGTCTGCACAAGAACAGGGTAGCGGCCACAGAGTTTGACATTAGGGGAACTGTTGAATATGCAGGAGGTGCACCAGCCACACCAGGAGTGGCACTCAGAGGTCCTTTGGGGATAGTTCTGGAACATACTGGAGAAACTGAAATAGTTCCCTTGTTGTCATAGGACTAATAATATTGGTTGGCTACAAATTCAACAGGTGACGATCTCCTTGCCAGATCAGTCTTCTAAAGGGCTTTTCTGTACAGGACTTTTGTACTGGTTCTGACACGGTCATGTGACTCCCTTTTGTTACCTTCTCTGCAGTAGGCTGATGCCCCACCTGTTAGCAGTCATTGTCCCTGTGTAGAAACTCGGAAATGTCATTTGGGCCTGAACATGGCTGTTGTGTCTGTGGGCACACACTGGGCCCTTCTGGGACCCTAACATGCTCACATTTCTTGCCTATGACAAATGCCACTTGAACTCAGGCCACTGTTTGATCTCAGGCGCACAGCTGAAGATGAACCAGCTGACCATGGGCTCAGGACGATGTGCATCCCATGTACAACTGTGATGCCATTTTAGCAACTGCAACAGCCAGAGATGTTAGAAGCCTAGTCCCAGATCATAGCTGGCGTTTTGATACTTTGTCACTGTTTTCGTAAAAGAATCAACTATTCCTCCAACAATTATAGGCAGAGCTGTGCCATCTCATTGGAAGAAGATGCCAGGTTCCCTAGGCTCTCTCAGGGGAGAACGGAGTCCTGCCCTCAACCCATCTGTTAGTGAAGTGTCTAGGAGGCGTCTCTGGAGCTTGGCATTGTTTTGGTTGTGGTTTAAAGAATGTTTCTCTATGGTATTTAAAAAATGAATCAAAGACTTTAACTTGATTAAATTGATAATGGAATTTTAAGAAGGTTCTGGCCAGAGAGCATTTGGTGGACATGTAATTGTGCTTTTAGATAAATAGCCAGGCTGATGTATCTTGAAGCACTTGAAGTCAGAGGTCATCTCTCAAGTTGAGAGCTTTGCATACCCCGACTTTCTGTGCTGAAATCTTCTATCGAAATTGCTTTGCTCTTGGGAGAGAGTTAGCCCTGGCATTGAGGCCAGCCAGCAAAGCACCAAGACCAGCCTCCAGCCAGATCCTGCGTCATGCTGGCCACAGGATGGTGGACCGAGCTTCCAGAACTCCCAAGCCCACCAGCTGGTGTTCATTCCTGTGGGTGAGACTCCTTTCCTGTGTCCCCAGGGCCTCACTCGCTCTTGGGGGACGCTGATCACAGCCGGAAGGCCCCCACCCTCCTTCCCACTCAGAGCCACAGGATGGTCTGCGGGGTGTCACCTCCCCTA